AGGATACCATATGTCTTGTAATTTTATAAATAATAAATAATAATAATAATAATTACAGATTTATGGTGACAACAATCACCTTGGTATGGCCTGCGTAGATATATTGCAGAAATGCACGTAGAACTGGATAGCTTACAACCTGAAGCTGGATGACATCTTGATTGCAGAAATGCACGTAAAATTATAGAAAATAATAAAGATTATAAATATGTTTTTGTTAGGGACTAAACTATCAATTTTTCCTAATTCATTCTATTTTAAAATTATATACTTTTCGTAGTGGAGTTTTTTTTTTTAATTTTTTTTATCCTAAAAGTAAATGCTTTTATTTTTAAATAACATTTCATAGATTTTTTGAAGCTCATTTATTTATAAATCTCTCTTTACTTACTTATATTTCACTTAGTCTTTTTTTTTTTTTAATGTTCCAATAAGTCCTTAGGTGACATAGTTACCAAACACCCCTAATAATATTATTCACATTAACAGTGTGAATATTCTATGATGTGAACATTTATACTGTCAATGTGAATATTTATACTGTAAAATATGGATATTCACATATCTACGTTACTAAGTGTTCAAAAAATGTTTGTAAGGGTAAAACTATTCACAAAATACCTTAAATATAAGAATTAGAATTTGGTGAATCAAATGTTCAAATAATAAGACTTATTGAAATATAAAAGTATGTTGTAGACTAATTGGGATATAAGTACATGAAAAAGAATTTCTTAATAAATCTTCCATTTCTTTAAAAAAAAATTTAAATGTCCTCTATTTTCAATCATAATTAAATTATATAGTATAAGGAAAATGAATCTAAAAATAAAGGGCATATAATTTTTTATATTTGTTATAAAAATAAAGGACATAAATTTTTTAAAAAAAATTCACAAAAAATATGTATCTAAGAACTTAAAAATAAAATGAAATAAAGGGCATATAATTTTTTATATTTGATATAAAAATAAAGAACATATAATTTTTTTTAAAAATCATGAAAAAATAAAGAGCACATAATTTTTTATATTTAAAAAATTTAAAAATCACAAAAAATATATGTTCTTTATTTTCCTTTTACACCATATAATTTAATTATGATTAAAAATAGAGGGCATTTAAATTTTTAAAAAAAAAATCACAAAAATTTATTTAAAAATAAAGGAATTTATTTTTATGATAAATTTTTTTTAAAAAAAAAACTCTTACAAAAAGTATATAATTTTAAAATAGAAAGGAATTACAAAAAAATGGTAGTTTAGTGGAGCAAAACATAGTTTGAATGTTTTCTCTTTTCCATGATAGTAGAGGTGGTTAACCATATTTAATGCATCTTTAAAAACACTCGTTAACAAAACTTTTATTTAAATATTAGTCTAATTTATCAAAATTCAACTTTATAACATTTTGCCAACATCATTGTCAATTCATTTTTCATTTACCAAATTAGGGGAAAGCCTATTTGTGTGTGCACCCTGTGGGCTTTTTTCGCTTTTGAAAGTTAAAAATGTAATTAGAGTGTGTCAGTAAGGATCAATAAATCCTTACAGACATAATAAATGTCAACCAATTTACCAGACAATTGCTTTGAAGTTCTTTTAGTCTCAATAAAAATGACTTTTATTGGTGTCTTATTTTAGGAGAAAATTCAGAAGAAGTAATCACAAAAGTAAAAGGAGGGAGAGAACAATGTCAGAAAATAAATTTCATTAAGTAAACTAATGTTTACAAATGTACTTTCGCACTTCCACAGCCTCAAAGGGGATTACAACATGAACAAACTAACTTAGAACTACTCTTAAAAACTGAAATTCAGTGTAGGAAAGTAAATGACTGGAATGTAAATAATTGGAAAATAAAAAACTACAAAAATGTACTTGCGTTGTTGCAATGAGCATAAGTATAATCCTTCCAGACAAAAAAATAAAAAATATAAAAAAATGAAATTGAAAATACATGGTAATGAGAACTCGAACAAATTAAAAAAATTCGGCTTGGGATTACCGAAAATGTATCTTTTATTCGGTAGTTGGTTACCAGACTTATATTTTTTGCTCGACAATGTGATGCCGAACTATTTTATTTTGTTTAGTCGAACACTAATCCAGAAAAACGAAACAAAAACCTACCAAATAAAATAAAAAAAAAAAAACTCACAATTTTACTTTTTTGATAGTTTTTCACCACCGTTTTTTCATCCATTACATTCTTTACTGATCAAAATACTATGATTCTTACTTTTTGAATAGACATGTGTAAGAGAAAAGAAAAATTAAGAAAGGAAAAAGAGGAGTAGGGATTGAAGACCAAGGGATGTAAGGAGATTTTATTCGGTAGTTGGTTATTGGACTTATATTTTTTGTTCGATAATGTGATGCCGGACTATTTTATTTTGTTCGATTTTGAACCATCGAACGAAAGTTGAACACCAATCCAGAAAAACAAAACAAAAACCTACCAAATAAATTTTTAAAAAAAACTCACAATTTCACTTTTTTGATAGTTTTTCACCACCGTTTCTTCATCCATTCCTTTCTTTACTGATCAAAATACTATGATTCTCACTTTTTGAAAAGACATGTGTAAGAGAAAAAAAAAATTAAGAAAGGAAAAAGAGGGGTAGGGATTGAAGATCAAGGAGTGTAAGGAGATAACAACATATATTTAATTTTAGTGTTTTGTCTTTAAAAGTAATTTCACACATGGATAAATTGGGAGGGGGGGAACTCATATGGAGGATGTAAAGAGGTAAAGTAGTGGTGTAAATAGAATCACCCGTAAATATATTGTGCAAGTAAATTTCCCTTAAGACAATTTGTGTATATTTTCAATTCTTGAAAGAAGCCCATGAGGGAATGGTGGTGGCAGCGTTGATGGTTGTTGATGATGGTAGTGGTGATATTGTGTTAAAAGTTAGTGAAAATAATTTTCTATTTGAATAGTAAAATTTCATTGTACGAATATCTTTTAATTTATATTTAATTATTGGAATTGAATTTTCAAAAAACTATTTCATATATAGGAACTTCTAAAATTAATTTCACAATTTCTAGATCAAATTTAATTATTGGAATTGAATTTTCAAAAAACTATTTCATATATAGGAACTTCTAAAATTAATTTCACAATTTCTAGATCAAATTGATTAACTATTATTATTTAAATTAATTTTGAATTTTGTTTAAGTGTTTGTGATCATCATGGTGGTTAGTGATAATGATCGATGTTGATGGGTAGTGGCGGTATTGTGTTAGAGGTTAGCTATACATTTTTTTCTTTTCTTCTATTTAAACAGTTAAATTTCATGCACTAACAATTTTTTATTTTTTATTTATTTTCATCCAATCAATGGAATTAATTTTTTCATAGGCATATTACATATATCAAGAAACGTTAAGCATTAATTTCATGATTTTTTTTTATTTATTTGTTAATTATCAATTTGAGATATTGTTTATTTGATTTTTAATATTTAAAAGGGTGAATTACATTAAGGGGTTGTTTGGGATGACCTAAATAAGTGTACTTTTTGTCTTTTTATGAAAAGATGTGCAGAAAAGTAGAGAAGTGATGTGATGGAAAAAAGATAAAAAGATGAATTATTTTGATGTTGCCAAACTTGGCCTAATAGTCCCTATAGTTTGGGGATTGTGTCACTTTGATCCCTGACTTTTCAATTGTGACACATTTGACCCTGAATTTTGAATTTTATTCTAAATAAGGACAATTGAAGATATTATTAGATTTTTCAAGGGTAAAATCGTCTATTTGATAAAATATAAACTAATTTGACAAAAATAAATATCAAACAAATATTTTTGAATTTTTAAAAATTATTTCTACTCACTAAAAATAAAATTATGTAAAATTGATAAATCTTTTAGACATTTATTTTTTTTTTTACTAAATTAATTTTTATTATGTGTTTGGATAATGATCATGTAAAATTAATTTTTCAAAATTAATCATGTAATTTTTATTAATTTTTATCAATTTTACATAATTTTATCATTGGTGGATAAAAATAATTTTTTTAAAATTAAAAATATTGTTTTGACATTTATTTTTAGCAAATTAGTTTATATTTTATGAAATTGACAATTTTGCCCTTGAAATTAAATAATAATATCTTCAATTATCCTTATTTGAAATAAAATTCAAAATTCAGGATCAAATATGTCACAATTGAAAAATCAAGAATTAAAGTGACACGAGTCCCAAACTATAAGGACTGTTAGTGTAATTTGCCCTATTTAAAACCATGATAATTTTGATATGAAAAATCAGAAAGTGTTGTGATATATGTTAACAGACGGTATTTAGTTTGAAAGTTGGCCAAAGAATGATGAATTTGAGATTGAATAAAAATAGGAAAGTGAAAAAAACACACCACACTCCTGGTCCATGAAACAAACAAACCAAGGAATGGAATGGAAGATGAAATGTGTGTCTGACGCCTCATGATAGATAATAAGGCCAATTTTGGTGCAAGCAAGCTCTAGTCCACAATCCACAGGCCATACTTTTGGTGCCGTTGTTTATGTTTGTTACTTTAGTTGTCTTTGGAATCTTCTACTATGGGTTAAATCTCATTTCCCCGACCATTTTAGTAAAATGCAACAAAAATTTATCCAGTTTCGGGAAAACGGTCATAGGATCCTCCATTCTACTAGGCCAAATGAGGGAGGTCTACCTTATAATGCCAAGCCAAGGATTTAGATCTAATCTACCTATTGTAAAAAAAATTCAAGTTAGATCTCCCTCTAAGGTGGGACTGTTTTGCTAGGACAAACTTAACGGTCTTGTAAAAATGAGCATTGCTGTGCAGCTCGAATTTGAGTTTGGCCTGAATGGTTTGAAATTCATCTTGCCGGTCGTCTAGTCAGTCGTTCGGAGAAAAGGCTGACAGTCGCGGTCGACAAGGTGACAATCACGGTAGACAAGTGTTTCACTTTGTCATCCGGGTGAACGTCCAGCCGGTCATCTGGCCCGTCATCCGGTAGACACCCATTCGGGCCATTCAAGCCCCTCTTTTTCGAGCTACATGGTATTTTTCTATAAAAATGGATTTTTGAAGGCCACCAAATAAACCACACAAATTATGAATTGCCAATATAACATAGAAATGCAGATTTTAAACTCTAGAAAACCAGAATATTAACCACAGCCTTACTACCATAAAAATATGCCAAGTTTATAGAGTTCAAGGTTCACCTAAAGTGAGCATTACATACCAACAAGTTGGACAAAATTTCTCAGTGCAACATATAGAAGGCCTCATAGCTTATCACAACAAACCATATGAATATGCCAAGGTCTTATCCTCCTCTCTAGTGTTGTCCTTAACCTGAAAATGTCAACGTAGTAAACACTTGCCCAAGTTCAAAACTAAATGGCATAGTATGAGCATGGATACATGCATGCATGTAAGCACTAGAAACATTATCATACATTTAAAAAGAGTGTGAATAAATCATAAAGACAATCTTTCCCACAAGTCATTTCAAACTTTGAACTTCTTTTTTCCTTTTCTTACTATGGTGGCAATCTGGTTTGTAAAACTACATCTAAACACAATAGATGCTACATTACTAGCACCTACACCACTAGTTGCTAAACTGCCTCTTCTCGGGGACTAACCCGAAACAAATTGGTACCCAACCCCGCAACGTTCTGATCTTCCACCGAAGTTAGTTAAACCCAACTTGCTCACCACAACTACAAAACCAGTCTCAACATAACATTCAAATTTGCCATTTCAATACTTTCTTTTCTAATATATCCAAACTGTGACTTCATTTACTTTTTCAAAATAACATTTCAACCATACTTTGCAAGAGAGCTTGAATGATATAAGATAATCAAGTGACATTTAAAATGTAATAGTCAAGAGCTTCAAAGAACCAAACCACATTTTAAAGGGTCATGAAGCTAGATGTCCTCCACAAATATGCTTGAAAGCACTCAAAAGAGAAAAAGAAATTTGGAGGAGAGAGGAGAAGAGAATTGTTTACACTTAACAGGAAAAAAAAAAAAAAAATCTATTAGTCCACTGCTGCAACTAATATTTGTCATGTAATAAAAGAACAAATAGAAAAAAAAAAAAAAAAAAAAAGGAAAAGTTTGAAACAATTTGGAAGACCAACTAGGGTGGCTCAGCCAAGTATGAGGCCCTTGAAAAACTTAATTAATTTTTCATTTTTCCTCCTTACAAGAAATCAAGACTTACTTTCATAGGGTTTCAAGTGAGGTGCAAGAACTTCATTGGTGCAAAAGAACTAAAAATAAAAAAAATAAAAAAAAACTAATGTTTTAATTAACCAAGCAAAATGAGTTGGTATTTTGTGATTATGCACTTATTTGGGGTAAGTAATCCATAAAGCAAGGTGGTGATGAAGTTGAACCTCTTTGATAAGTCACATGAAGACACTGGGGCTACTTTGAAGAGAATGAAATATGATACTGTGAAGATGATTCGTTAAGTTCCACTTGCATCTATACTTGCAGATTATTTATTTATTTTATTTTATTTATTTAAAACGGATTTTTTTTTTTTTTTTTTTTTTTTAAGGGATTGTCACGATGTGGGAAAATAAATATTTCTAAATGCAAATTTTAGTTTAAAATCCACGTGTCATTAGATTTTAGTAGTAAGTGGCCATAGGCTATAAATAAGAGTGTAAGGGTAACTCAGTTTTTGATTAAAACAAATACATGTAAATTAGAGCAAGAGCTTTGGTCATTCTCGGTCTTTTCTACTATGTTCTACGACACAAATCCTTATCAGCTGACCTAGAATTAAATGGGACCACATATAAGTCACACTACCATCATTACTGAAAACACCCACACAACACCGAATTGATCCTAGAGGGGGTTGAATAGGACAATTCAACTCAAATTTTCAATCAACCACAATACCAAAAATATAAATCAACTACTTAACAATTCCAATCATTGATCTTATCAATTCAAAGCATCAAATAAGATAAAGAGAGACACAATTTACGTGGAAACCCTATGAGAAAATTATCTCACGGCATGAAAAACACAATCCCAACACCAATTCTCACTAGATCATTGAATCAAACAGTTACAAGACTCAAACAAGGATTTACAAAGTCTTGCCCAAACTTACGCACCTATAGTTGAGCCCACCACAAGCTTCAAGAAGCTTGATCTCCGGTCAAAGCGGCCTCGCAACCACGAGCTCTGTTGATCCAAGTATCTCCATGAAGCTTCAAACTTCAATTTCCAAATCAATGGCTTCAATCTTCAATCAACCATGGTGTTTTTGGAATGGAGGATATGTGTGAAGGTTTTTATAGAAATCAACAAGAAAACAATCAATCTAGAGAGATTGTGAGATAGAAATCATGAGATCACCTTTAGATTGAAAGTCCCATTCATGGATTCTCGGAGCACAAGCTTGAACAAAGAACTAGATAGAGAAAAAAAAGTGTCTCAAGCTTGTATTCCCGAATCTCTAGTGAAAAGATGAGATCAGGTTTTTCAAAAAACAGTTAAGGTAAAAAGGTAAAAAATGACTTCAAAACATGCGTTGTTAAAAGCCACCAGTGCTCGATTGACTGTTAAATGCAAAGCGAGCGCGCTTCACAGGACTTCCAATGGTCGAGCCCCTATAGAGCCTGCATTGAGCTCACTTTGTAGGAGTTTGAACGCTCGAGCTTCTATAGAGTGCACAGTGAGCGGACCTTGCAAGATTGCTGGCGCTTGAGTGGTTTTTCCTTCTTGTCTTTCTTTTGCTTCCTGGGCTGTTCTTGAGGAGGATAAGATGATTCAGCATCAGTATCAATCTCTGGTGTAGGCAACATTCTTTGCCTGTGTCGATGTTGTTGTGGATGCAATTCAGAAGTTCCTTGTTGAGGTCGTGGATTATAGAGCATGTTCTTCTTTTTCTCCTTAAATTCTTCTCCTGCAATCACTTCATCAAGAGCAAGAATCTTTTCTGAGGGACCTTCTTCAAATTGAACATGAGCTTCAGCTTCTCTTTCTAGCTCCTGAATCTCATCTTCTTTGTATTTTCCCTTCTGTCTTAGTTCACGTTCATCATCCTAAAGAACTAGCTCATAATATTGCTGTAATTTACGATCGAGTCTGCCTCTCAAGTAAAGTTAATTTAAAGGAATTTAGAAGCCAGCAAATTCAAATTCAGTCCCTGGAAACCTCAATCCAACAGCTTGATAAAAAGGTGGAGAAGCTTGAAAAAGGAATTAATTCCTTAACTCAGGTTTTCCTTGAAAGCAAGTCGTGGAACAAGGAAGAACAACAGCTGAGATCGATAGAAGAAATTCTTCAACAGCTCAAGAGAGCACTTGTTGAATGAGTCAAAACGATCTGGTGTATCTTGAAGCTCTCAAAGCATCAGAAACAACTGAAGCACCAGGAATCGGCTTATCAACTTCTTCTGACAAGCTATCCATACCATCAGGAGTGAAAACCCTGATTCGGCAGAATAACACCATAATTGAACTTTGTTTAAGATTGTCAAAACAGGTTGAAGCACTTGAAGGAAGAATTCGAGCTTTGGAAGCCCAGAAGTCTCCAGCACTTTCAACCGACGATCTTGTTGCAAAAATCGCAAAACTCTCACTCGGACCAAAGGAGAAGCCAAAAGAAGGGAAGGGACTTCTCAGAGTTCATCGTGATCCAAACAAGTTGCTACAAGACGAGCTTGACAAACTCAGGCTTAAGAATTCATAATGGCCTCAACATCCAGGACAAGGACGGTGACACTGCCACGAGTTACCAACCAGCCACGGCCAACAACAGCAACACCTGGAGCACCATTGTTTGAAGATCAAATCCGAGAGTATCGTCAGGACCAGCGACGAAACTATGTTTTGCAGAGAAGAGCAAGAAACGCACTTCAACGAATAAGGGGGCGTCCTTCGACATCAAATACCTTAGAGCAGCAGCTCTCTCCAGAAGTGCAATTACAATTATCTATGGCGGAACGAGCAAATATAGCACCAGCTGAGGTGTTATACAGGACTAGACGAGATGATGCTCATCATCGAGTTTATGTTCACAGATCTGAAGAAGCCATACTTTGCGTAGGAGAAACGCAAGTTGAGAGGCCCTTCATCCAGGAAGAAAGCTACGAAGAGTTACGAAGGAGCCATATGCAGTACATCCACCTCGGAGTTGTTCAAATCCGACTTCAAGTCCTACATCGGATAGAACAAGGGAATCTTGCTGTTCTAGTTCTTCGGGACACAAGATGGACGGGAGATCAAGCAACCTTCGCATCTATGGAGGTTGACCTTACACGAGGAATACAGATGGTCTACATAGTTCCTAATACTATGATGACTATCGGAGATTTCTACAATCATGTGCAGATCGTGATTCAGACAAGGGGATACGAGAATTGGCAAGGAGGTGAAGCCAACCTATTAATCACTCGAGGATTAGTCGGAAGATTATCCAACACTCCCAACGTTGGATTTGTTGTTACAGGAGCAACAAGAATACATCCGGTGGTGTGAAGCTGAGATGAAGAGGCTTCGGGAAGAAGCAATCCAATACAAGACTGAACTTGAGGAACTCAAGTTAATAATTAAGCTTCAGGATGATGAACGGGAACTAAGAATGAAGGGAAAATACAAAGAAGAAGAAATTCAGGAGTTGGAAAGAGAAGCTGAAGCTCATGTTCACTTTGAAGAAGGTCCTTCAGAAAAGATTCTTGCCCTTGATGAAGTTATTGCAGGAGAAGAATTCAAGGAAAAGAAGAAGAACATGCTTTACAATCTCACCGTGGAACTGGAGGTTCCAGGAGTACAACGAATCCAACTACGCGCAATCCTCGATACAGGAGCAACCACTTGCGTCGTAGATGCTGACTCCGTCCCAGAAGAAGCCTTGGAAGAAAATACTTATACTGTTGAGTTCAACGGTATAAATTCAAAGTCAAAGGCCAACAAGAAATTAAAGGGTGGAAAGATGTATATAGGGGACAATTGGTTTCGAATCCCTTATACATACAGTTTCCCATTTAAACTTGGAGGAAGAATTCAGATGATTATCGGGTGCAACTTCATTCGAGCAATGTATGGAGGAGTACGTATTGAAGGAGACAATGTTACATTCTACAAGAATGTAATAACAATCCAGACCCGTCAATCAGTGAATCTCTTGGAGGAGCTTGAAGAAGAAGAGGATTTCACAGTGGATCATTATTATGAGCCTTCAACAGAATGGCTATTTCATTCCACTCATATTAATCCTCATTTTGAGCAGCAATTTGAAGAATTAATGATGCAGCTCAAAACCTGTGGAATCATAGGCGAAGACCCTATGAAGTACTGGTCGCACAATCAGATTACCTGCAAATTGGACTTGAAGAATCCCGATTTCACAATCAATGATCGTCCAATGAAGCATATAACTCCGGCGATGAAGGAAAGCTTCAAGAAACATATTGATCAGCTTCTACAATTAAAGGTAATCCGACCAAGTAAAAGTCGACATCGTACCACAGCTTTCATCGTAAATTCTGGTACGTACATTGATCCCGTCACGAAGGATGAGAAACGTGGCAAGGAACGAATGGTGTGTAATTATAAAAGGCTAAATGATAATACACACAAGGATCAATACAGTCTACCTGGTATAAATACCATAATGGCAAAGGTGGGCCATAGCCGTATTTATTCCAAGTTTGACTTGAAAAGTGGATTTCATCAGGTTGCCATGCACCCTGATTCAATTGATTGGACTGCTTTCTGGACACCTCTTGGGTTATATGAATGGCTGGTGATGCCATTTGGATTAAAGAATGCTCCAGCAGTCTTTCAGAGGAAAATGGATTTATGCTTCAAGGGCACTGAAGATTACATTGCCGTCTACATTGATGATATCCTGGTTTTCTCTCCAGATGAAAGGACGCATGTGAAGCACATAAAATCCATTGTTGGAAATTTGCAAGAAGAATGGGCTCATCCTAAGCCCAACGAAGATGAAAATTGCCAAAGCCCAGATAGATTTTCTTGGGTCAACAATTGGGGAAGGGAAGATAAAGCTACAACCACATGTTGTAACCAAAGTAGCCCAATTTCCAGAAGAAACGCTCAAAGAGACTAAAGGCCTACGTTCTTGGTTGGGCCTCCTCAATTATGCCAGGCAATATATTAAAGATTTGGGCCGTCTGTTAAGCCCATTATACTCAAAGGTCAGCCCAAATGGAGAGAAGAGGCTAAATGCCCAAGATTGGGAGCTGATCCATAAGATCAAGGCCAAGATCCAGAAGTTGCCTGATCTGTCAATTCCTCCAGCACAGTGTTCCATTATTCTTGAAACAGATGGATGTATGGAAGGGTGGGGAGGAATCTGTAAATGGAAATTAGCTGCTAAAGACCCACGATCAACGGAGCAGATTTGTGCATATGCTAGCGGGAAATTCAATCCGATTAAATCCACCATTGACGCCGAAATCTATGCATGCATGAATTCCTTGGAGTCTTTCAAGATTTATTATCTTGATAAACAGCAGCTTACTCTAAGAACTGATTGTCAGGCCATAATCAGTTTCTTTAATAAGACAGTGGATCATAAACCATCACGATCCAGATGGATAGCCTTCACGGATTACATAACTGGCTTAGGCATAGATGTGTCATTAGAACATATTAATGGTTCTGATAATACTCTTGCTGATGCATTATCCAGGCTTGTATATTCACTGTTTTCTGTTACAGAATGGCCAACCAAGGAGGAACCGGAAGATATGGAGGTACTAATCGGCCTTCAACAGCTCGAAGAACTTATCCAGCCCTTCAGAGACATGAACGGATCATCCTCTCTCAGACAGAGCCATCAAGTCGCTGGATTGATCCTCAATTTCATCCCATTGCTGTACGATACCAATCTCTTATGCAGCAAATTGAAGATAGGTTCACCTACGACTCAGGAATTTCCTTTGATGAAATGGCAGAAATCCAGGCCATCAAGCTGTTGGATTGAGGTTTCCAGGGACTGAATTTGAATTTGCTGGCTTCTAAATTCCTTTAAATTAACTTTACTTGAGAGGCAGACTCGATCGTAAATTACAGCAATATTATGAGCTAGTTCTTTAGTAGATGGCTTTTCAGTTGAGGCAAGATCAAGGTAGTTCAGGCGTGAAGTCCCAGATTTTTCATACCATTCTCTAATGTTTTGTTCCCATATATTTGTCATAGCATTTCTACTGGTCTGAGTAAGAATATATTAACTAGTTTGAGCTATCTGGATTACCAATTTACCAAAAGGAAGCGCTATAAACTATATTTAAATTTCAAGGTCCAAGTAGTCCTTACCAGTTAAATTTCTTGTTCACCACAGGGTTTCACTGGACTTACTCCTCTCTGCCAGATATAGGGCCTGTGTCTTTTACTTAAATCTTAACTTCAAGGATTATACTGCCTTTAGAAACTTAAATACAGAAATCATGCTATACCCTTCTATAATTTTGGTAACTTTAATAGCCTTTGCCTTGGTTAATATACGATTACCTTTGCCCTGGCAGGATACTAATAACAAAGATATAGTTTAAAACATTAAATAAAGTATAATTAATCGTTAAACAACAGAGGCCTTCACTACCCTGATAAGTGTTTACGCTACCATAGCCATATTAACTAGCTCTGATACCAATGACAGGATCACAAATTTTCTGTAAATAAGTAAAGAACTAATGAAAACTTATAGAAACTTACAGAAAATGTTATAACAGCGGAAACTTCTTCAAACTTTGATTACAAGACTCGAAACTCGATTTCAAGTGTCAAGTGTAGTTTTTGGAACTTGTCTTGATGTTTGAAACTATAAACTTAGAAACCTATTTATAGAGAAAATATCAAAGATGCATGCAATAATGCCGAGTACACTGTTAGCCTCATCGACGCATTATTGGTGTCTTGATGATTCTCCACTGACACAACTTGACTACCAAGATATGACAGGTTCATAACTCTGGTTCACACAATTACATTGATAGACGAGCCAGATTATGACAGGTTCATAATTCAGGCACATTATTGCAAAATATCTATAATACGACAACTTGATATTATTCCAACAGTTTTTCTCAGATGCCTGAGTATTGATTAAAGTGGAATAATACTGACCGACGCTATTGACAGACGACATTATTGACAGCTATTATTAAGACTGGACCATGCCCACCACGTTCTTCCATTATTAAAGAGATAAGCATGGAATAAGTCCCACCTGTTGATCTTATCAGTAACGAAACATTCTCATCAGCATGACGAGATCAAATAATTCTCCATCGATCTCATTCAGTTCACAGGTCTGCTGATGTACTTCTGGCAGTTTGTCAGTGTATTGATTGTCACTGCAAGCGGCTCTAGCGATGGCTTCAAGCTTGAGCTGCTGGATCTTTCGTAACTGTTGAACTGCTGTCCTTGCCTGTTCAATGACATTATCTTCTTCTTCGGCAAGACTAGTTCTTCGGGACACAAGATGGACGGGAGATCAAGCAACCTTCGCATCTATGGAGGACTGTCAAGCTCAAAGTGATCAGACCTAGCAGGATATGCAGACCTCAAGTGCCTAGCAAGCGGGCTTTGGAAACCAATAAGATGATTCAACCAAGTTCAAAAAGATGAAATGTGGGAGGGTGTGGCTAAGTCAAATACCTTTCACAACTCAAAACCTTGATGCACAATCCTATGCCAAGGATAATCCTGAGCATAGATAGCTCAACTTGACTAAGAACTATAACCTCCAAAAGAACCCACCCCCCCCCCCCCCCAAAAAAAAAAAGACTCTGGATGTTTTGTCCAACTGGAATTAAGCCAGCTAAACCTAACAATTACCTTGTTATATATATATATACATTTTTTTTTTATTTTTCCTGAAAATTCTTCACTAGTTAAACAAACAACCACCACAAGGATGTACAAAGATTTTTTTCACTCTGATTTTGTTAGTTGATAGATCACCACTGGTCAAGTATGATCTGTTAGGAAAGGTGTCCAACAATTCATATCAAGTTCCCCAACGCCTTCCTCAAGTGCATGTATGCAATTCCGTCTCGTACATGAGTACATAAATATCCAAACATGTAGAGGAACAGAATGCAAACAGAGAAACTTCTCACAAGTCTTTATCATAGAAACTTCTCACAAGTCATAGCTTTATTTTTGTACCATTAAATCACTAGCCCTAAAAGGTTCAATTGTTGGAAAAGGAGTCGAGCAATATACATCAGGCTCTCCAACATTAGTATCTTTACTTTGTCTAAAATTATACATGTGTCCAAATTAATGACATGTGTCCAAATCATCCACAAAGCCACTGCATGAGGCAACAATATTAATTGAAGTGGACATAGCTGTCAAATTTTACTTTAAAAGACTTTAGAGTATGACTACAATTATTCAACAAGTTGAGTAATCTCATCTTCACTTTTATGGTTTCATATATTAGTTTGCCCTTTGTTCTCCAACTTCAAATCAATTTGTAGAGGAGCAGAGAAGCACTGACATTAGATGAACAAGACAATAAGCTTGCAAAAATGGAATAATCTTGAAATCTTATGTCAACTTTTAATAGACAAGAAAGGCAAAGAGTTCTTAACCTCCTCCTTGCTGAGGGCTTGCGCACCCTGGGGATTAATTGGGTTTTGATCTGGACACCCCGGTGCCAATAAAAAAAAAAGATTTCTTAACCACAAACAAGTATAAAGGAAGAAAAAGCTTAAAAAAAGTAACAAGTTGAATATTTTTAGAAAACCAAAAATAACTCAATTGTATCAACAAATGCAATTACAGATACCTGATAAATTCCAAAACTTTCAGCTGTAAAATCACTGAATGGGAACTGTGGCAAGCACATAAATAATTATTCACAAGCAAAATGTTCTGCACTAAATGACATTACATTTTAGTAATCCGCTGCAACGTTTGAAACATTTAGGGAAGCTAAAATAGATTATTGAAAAATAAAGGAAAGCTAAAATGGGGAATGATCAGGAAATATTGAAAAGCAACATGCAAATGGCACTCACGAGATTACTTCACTATAGTTTTTCTGTAGGCCTGAAGTACCCTACATCGATACTCTCCCAAAGCCCAAATTGGGAATATGTTTCTGTATGCTGCGTAAGTTATCATGCAGTTTTTGTTGAATACCCCAGTGATTTCCTGCAAGGAACAAAAAAAAAAAAAATGAAGTAAAAACCAATTATTAAAATCCGGAGTGGAACATTCATCATCAAGGATACATCGTGACCAATGATGCAAAAAATTGAAACAACATTTCACATATTTCATTACAATACAGTGATAGTTCCAATATCTGTGTTGGCTTCAGTATGCTGAAAGAACATGTGCAATAATTTAATGCGGAAAGTGGAACACAAAGAAATGATTCCATTTTATGGGTTGTCAGTGGTTTAGGTCTCATGCTTTTTTAACCTCCATTTCTATTGTTATGTTGGATAGCTTGGACTTACTTCAATCAGAATATATATTAGCTTGTTTGGTTGTGTTTCCATTTTGTTAGTTTTTTTTTTTTTTCATGTTTTTGAAAGCTAATCAATGAAAAGTTCGAAAATGTTAACTCACCAATTATCCCAAAAGCTTAAGTTATTAGGGAATGGGCCTAACAATGTATATCGAACCATCCAACACCTTCCCTCATGTGCAACCCCGTTTTGTAGGTGATGTAAACATCAATACATAGAGTGAAGAAAGAATGCAAATATGGACTAAATGCAAATGAAGAGACTTAAACCCAAGACCTTCTCAAACTTGAGCTCTGATATCATGTTAAGTCATCAATTATCCCAAAAGCTTAAGCTGTTAAGAAACGAGCCCAACAATGTATATCAAGGTATCCAATAGAAAACACCAATCATTTTCAATTTTGAATGAACAATTTGAAAACAACTTTTTAATGTTTCCTAAAAATTATGTTGTTTTGTGAAAATTTTCTCCAAAATAGTTCGCTGAGCAACTTTGTAGTTTCCTGAAAATGAAAAAAAAAAAAAAAAAAAAAAAAAAAAAAAAAAAAAAAAAAAAAAAAAAATTGAAAATGAAACCAAGTACGAAATTTTTGAGTTGGATATGTTTCAACAAGAAAAACAAAAAATCAAGTTTTGATCTCTACTAGTGAACTTTTAAACCCCAAACACCAAAAAACAAAAAATAACAAGTAGGAAAAATAAACATTATTAATGATAGAAAAGGCATTTTACACCTAAATCCCTTATGTTTTTTAGACGTACCTTAGGTTTATGAAATAACATTGAACTCCCATGATGGGGAATATGTGCGCTCTAAGTTGGCAATGGAGATTTTAATATATTATAAGTAAGTTTTAATATTTATGTTTATTTATAGATTATTTAGTATGTTTAGTTCTTATTCTATTAGGGATTAATTTTCCAAATAGTATTATGATTTAGTTGCCTAATTTGAATTAAGGTTATAGCCTATAAATATCAAGTCGTCACATTATAATATTTAGCTTTGGAATAATATTAAGGTAGTGGCCGTTGTGTTTAGGGTAGTGGCTCTTGTCTTCTTCCTTCTTTCTTCCTCTCCGTGCTACATCATGTTGGTATCATAGCCAAAATAGATCCATTGTTTTTGTTCAATCAAGTGGTTACCTTCTTGATACGGCCTCGTTGGTTCAAACCATCATCGATCAAGAATAGTTGTTGCTTCATCATTGTCTTCAATAGCTGTTATGACCACCATCATCAGCAACCATTGTTGCTGTGTTGCCACCTTGCATACAACTGTTCGTCACATCATCGTTGCCATCAACACCAACAATTCTAGCTTCTTTTAATCGAATCTTGCTACATCAAAATGGAGCCTGTGTCAATATCCCTGCCAACTTTTAGATTTAGACAGATCATATCGTTGGAGTAGTCGATCACTGGATCACAGTCACTGCCCTACTCTCACAGTTACTTCAGTCATTGAAGTGAACATCATGTGGCTCTTGCTGGAACCCCGATGTTGATCGTTGGTGGCCGCTCTCTTTCCTAGGGCTTGTGCTGCAATTAATGAAGAAAGGAGACAAGTGGATTGAATAACCTTTAAACCTGACCCGACATTATAACCCATTTTCCCAGCCCACCTTTCTTATTTAAGCCCAAATACCCGTGCAACAGTCCAGATACCTATTTCCTGTGTTACATGGACTATTCTATTTCCCGTATAGTATCTGTGTCCACCGGTTATGACATGGGCAAGGGTGTGAGATATGTGTCCAACACTAGTACCCAATTTAGACACTCGGATCATTTAATTTGTTACAATATATGAGAAGAAGAAACTCAATATTTTTTGGCTTCTCACATTAATTAGATATAGAAAGTTCATATTTGTCCTAAATCCTATTCAATTTCAAGTATATTTTTATATAATTTACAACATTTCATCCAAGAATATTATATAATATGCAATATGTATGTATATGACGCATCTCCATACCAATATCCAATTTCGGATACGTATCCCAAGATCCTAAGATTTAAATTTATGAAGGTCTAGTGCTTGGATACACACCGCACCTGAGTCCATGTAACATAACCTATATCAATTTACTCCATCTCCCAGTTAGCCCAACCCAAAATTAAACTCAACAAAACCCCAGTCCAAATACTCAGTTTAGTCCAGTTTCCCTTTACTTGTTATCAGACCTTACCCAAAGGACCAACATAACCCCAGTCCACATACTTGTTATTAGGCCTTACTAGAAGGACCAATCAATCCAACCCGCTTACAAAACATATATATATACCAATCCAACCCGTCAGCAGGGTCACTCGAAAATTTGGTGCCTTAACACCTACATCGATTGTCAAATCAATTTGCCTGTAATAAACTTTTGGACAAATTGTTGGCTCACTTCTTAAAAGATACATAATGGAATGTAATGGTCACATGAAAGTAGGTTCAATGCTCAAGAAAGTGTCGTTATTTGGAAGAAAGTTAAGAAGATATTGAAGTCCAAGAAGCCCTAATTGACGGGCAAGAACATCACACACACAAAAAAACAAAAATCAAAAAAAGGTTCTACCATAGGAAGAATCACTAAAAAATGAAGGTGCATTCAAATTATCAAATTCTATTACGGGTTAGAACGAGTTGATTTTCTGGATGCTGATATATTTGTTTGGATTATTAAGCCATATATGGTGGACCTCATCAATAACATGAAGACCAAGACAATTTGGATTACAGAGGGGCTTCAATTGCAAACAAAAATAAGAGAGCCCACATATTTGAAGTACTTGATTCGTTGGTTTGGCAAAGATCAATATTTCAGAGCAAACTTGAAGTTTATTATTATTATTATTTTTTGGTAGTCGAAGAGAATGATGTGGAGCATGCATGCTCTAAGTTGGCACAGAGATTTTGTTTAATTTTTAATATTTATGTTCATTTATAGATAAGTAGGATCTAGTGTATTTAGTTTCTTATTCTATCAGAGAACAAGTTTCCAAAGTTTATGATTTAGTTTTCAATTTTGAATTAGGCTTGGTTCCTATAAAATTAGGTCTTCACATTCTAACATTTAGCTTTGGAATAATATTAAGTGTTTAAGGATATGAATTGTTGTTTGGATTTGTACGTGTGATAAAATAATGCTTACGCCATCCATATCTTTATGAGACTTTGTTTTCTCAACTTCCCAATTACTCCCTCCTCCGTGTGTTTGGGTGTGCTTGTTTTGTCCTTTAACTGCATAAAGATAGGACCAAACTTAGTGTTTGGTCTATCTTGTTTGTCTTTTTGGGTTACTATCTTACTCATAAAGGTTATCGCTGTTATGACCCTGTTTCCTATCACCTTTATACCTCCCGCTATGTTGCCTTTCTCGAACGTCTATCTTACTTTCAGCTTCCTCCTCTCACAACCCCAGTTTCCAAAGAGGATTTGATTCACATTCATCCATTTCCTTCTGAAGTCCCTTCTGATGAATACATCTCTACTGTCCCCCATGAGCTTGTTCCCTCATCTCCTCTTACCACCCCTCCTGCTTAGTCCCTCTTCATTGTCCCCCATGAGTCTGTTCCTTCTCCTCCTTCTCTTCCTTTTGCTCTTTCTCCTCCGTTGTTAGTCTATTCTTGTTGCAAGGCTCTCCCTCTACAGGTTGTCTCTGCCCCTGCTGCTGATCTTCCTGCTTCTGATGACTCTGATCTTGCTAACCATAATTGTCCCCTTCGCAACTGTAAACAGGTAGCCAAACTTGATTTTCCTAAAGCATGTTTTTCTCCTTCATACTGCCTCTTTTTGTCTGCTATTCACTCTTTTTCAGAACTCTAGTCTTACAAAGAGGCATGCCAGGATCCTAATTGGGTCCGAGCTATGGAGGATGAGTTGTCTACTTTGCAGAAGACTACTACTTGGGAGCTGATTTTGTTGCCTATTGGCAAAAATTTGGTTGGTTGCAAATAGATCTATAAAGTCAAGACTCATTTTGATGGTTCTCTTGAGCGCTACAAAGCTCGCCTGGTTGCCAAAGGTTTCTCACAGGAGTATGGTAGATTATGAAGAGACCTTTGCCCCTGTTGCCAAGATGACTACTATCCGTACTTTGATTTTTGTTGCTGTTGTTCGTCATTGGAATCTCTATCAGATGGATGTTAAGAATGCTTTTCTTAATAGTCATCTCACAGAGGAGATTTACATACGTCCTCCCCTTGGCCTTTCCCATTTCTTTGGGCAGGTTTGTTGTCTTCAGCGTCCTTTGTATGGTTTGAAGCAATCCCCTAGTACTTGGTATGATTACTTTTAGGCCACTGTCACTCAGCTTAGGTTTCATCCTGTGCTCAGGATTCTGCTTTGTTTCTTATTCACACCTTCACTGGTTTTGTTGCCCTGTTACTGTATGTGAATGATATGATCATCACTGGCTCAACTCTTCTGTTATCTCTGAGGTCAAGCAACATCTCTTCCACACCTTCTGAGGTCAAGCAGCATCTCTTCCGCACTTTCGAAATGAAGGATCTGGGCCCCTTGCAATATTTTCTTGGTATTAAGATAACTTCTTCTCCTAAAGGTTACTTTCTGTCTCGGGCTAAGTATGCAAATGAGGTTATTCACCATGCCAGTTTTACTGACACTAAGATTTTTGATACTCCCATTGAGCTTAATGTGAAGTTTAACACTACAGATGGTGTCCCTCTAAATGATCATACTTTATATTGAGAACATGTGGGTTGCTTAGTCTATCTAACTGTCACTTGCCCTGATCTTGCTTATGCTTTTTATGTGGTTAACCAATTCATTTCTGCTCCTCGTTCTATACATTGGGTTGCTTTGGTTCGCATTCTTCGCTATCTCCGAGGTACTGTATTTCAAGGTTTACTGTTGTCCTCCACTTCCTCTTTGGACTTGGTGGTCTATGTTGATTCTGATTGGGTTGGTCATTTTATTGATCACAAGTCTACTTCTAGCTTCTACATATTTCTTAGTGATTCTTTGATTTCTTAGAAGAGCAAGAAACAGACCGTTGTTACATGTTCCACCACCGAGGCTGAGTACCGTGCCATGATTCATGCTACGACTGTTTGGCTTCGTTGTCTCTTATCTGATTTGGGTGTCCCTCAGTCTTCTCCGACCTCCCTTTACTGTGACAACCACAGTACTATTTAGATTGTCCATAACACTGTCTTCCATGAACAGACAAAGCACATTGAGATTGATTGTCACTTTGTCCATCAGCATCTGCAGTCTGGCTCTATGTCACTACCTTTCGTCTCTTCAGTTCTGCAACTTGATGACTTCTTTACCAAGACTCACTCTACTACTCGGTTTCAGTTTCCTCTTGGCAAACTCTCAGTGTTTTCTGCTAAAACACCTTGAGTTTGAGCGGGGGTGTGAGAATATTAGGTTTTATGTATATATGGCAGTACATATATTTTGTATATATTAGGAATTGAGTATATATTTGTTTCCTTTTCAGTTCTAAGGTTAGATTGTTATATAAACCAATGTATTCTTGTATTACATTACAATTGAATATACAACTCTTATTTAGAAATCTTACAGGGGCACAGGCAGTGGGTCATGGGTTTAGATGGATGGTGTACTAAGGTGGATTTGGTGGTAGCAATGGGTGGATTTGTGGAGATGTTTTGGGTGGCAGTGGAAGGCGGGTATCAGTAGTAGTGTGGCATTGATTTGTTGCGATAGCAATGGCAGTGGCAGTGTTAGTGGGTTAGGGCAGTCACAGGGGTTGGGCTTGCAAAGTGAGAGAAAGAGATGAAATTGATAGGTGGGCTTGAGGCGGTGGGAGGTGGGTTTGGATGGTAGTGAGTTTGATTTTGTGGAGAGAGAGAGAGGGAGAGATTTCATGGGTTAGTATAGAGCTGGTTTGGACAAGGTGTGATGAAACTCACCATTTCTCAAGCCAATCAATGACGTGGCATAATATAATTGGAAATTATCAAAACATCATAAACTTTGATTATAAATTGTTTTAATTGAAGTTTGTCAGATGAGGGAAAATATATTGTGATGTCAGCATATTAATCCAACTCATTAGCTGAATGTTAAAAGGAACGGGAAGGGGCATCTCTATATATTAATAAGAGGTCAGTGTTATTTCAAGCAACTCAACTGTCGGTGTAATTCACCTCAATAAAAAACAAAAAAAACATATTCAAAAACCAAAAGATAATATTTTGAAGTATATTTTAATTTCAATGAATATTCAAAATTTCTGGTATGTCCCATTCCCCACCAACGTAAGCTGGGTGTATTCCAAGAATTCAAACCAAGATGTGTTGAAGGTGGAAAAACATTGTGTACACAACATATGTAATGGCAGTTAAAATAAGAGCCTTAATTCCTCTTCAGTAAGATGGTTTCCTGGCAGTTTTCAATGTTTTCCATTAGTCTAATTCAGTAACAGTTACAAAGTTTTTCTCAGCAGCTTTTTTCAGTGTTGCATTTCATTATTCCTCCACCCCCCCTGTAGCGATCCTGATTTTGACCCGGTCAACTTACGGGGGTCAAGCCGCCCGGTCAGCTCGCTGAAAGCAAAAATGCAAAATGCATTCGAAATTGTTTACGAGAAAGTGTGTTTCACGCTCGAGCGGACCATGTTATATCAATCTGTAAGGGGAGATTTCAGATCACTTTTTCAGTTCTCTCTCTCTAAAACTCTCCAAAATTTCCAGATCTAGAGCTTCTCTCTCTAGAAGTCATCTTCTCTTTTTGATTCCTCCAAATCCGTTGGGAGCTAGACCGAAGTTCTTTATCAAAGTTGTGTAACTTCTCGAGGGTTTCGTTGTGTGCGGTGGAGATCGAGTTTCGACACCGTAAATTTTGGGATTTCATCTCATTTCTTCTTCGTAACTTGAGGTAGGGATTTTCTTAGAGTTATATATATATTTTTGCAAGATCTATATGATTTTCGAAATCATCTTTCGATAGCTTTGAAAATTGATTGTTGATTCAAGAAGTTGAACGATTTTGAAAGTGGGTTTGTCTCTTGTTTTTTTAAAAGGATCTTATGGGTTTTGATCTTCGTTGATTGAAGAAAAGATGATTTTGGAAAGTTTTCTTTCAAAAGATTTGAGTTGTGTAGTTTTGGTGAGAAAACCTAGAATTTGGAGATTTTTTTTAGAGACTGAAAATCCATGAATGATATTGTTATATTTATTTTGTGTCAAAATAAATAGATGTTTGGAAAATTTCTTATTTATATTTATATAAATGATGAATTTCAAGGTATATGAGAATTATTGTTCATTTTGAAAATTATTGTTCAAAACGTTGAAATAGTCTTGAAATGACTAATTGTTGAGGATACTTAAGAAGAGGGAATTGTGATATTCCTTGGATGATGAATTGGAATAACAGTATTTATATTCATCTTGTGTTATTGGCATATCAATTCATTTGATTACATTAAACTTTGAAAGTTGATTTGAAAACTTGCATTGAGAAAAGAATGTTGAGAAACAAGTTTTCATAGAATGGTTTTGGGGTAAATACGCTAGTAAGTCTTAATAGGTGATGTAGATGATATTAAATAAATTGACCTGAGAGTCTGGGGTGAAAGACCGAAAACTTGCGCCGATAGGTGTCGAGCCTTCTGGTTAATACTGGTAAAAATGACAAATTGGTAGTACTTATATAATCTACTTACAGACACCAACCTAAGGATTACCAGAGTCGTATTTACCGCTCTTGAAATGAATTGTTAAGTTTTGAAGAATTGAAATTGCATAACATTATTGAGCATGATGGTTTTCAAAGATGAAAATGTAATTTTCTTTCAAAAGGGCATAGCATGGCACGTGCATTTCATCTCTTGAGACTTGTATAAAATGTATATACTTTGTTAAGGATTTCCTACTGGGCTTTATGCTCACCCTACAGGATTTTTGTGCAGGAAAAGATGTGGTGATGTTGCGTAATTAAAGGCGAGGAAATGTGTGTGGAGAGTACGAGACTCTTATTTTGCTGTGACTCTGTGTGTCAGCCAATGGCTATATGTGTATGGGTTTGAATAACCATTTTGTGTAATCAAACTCAAGCCTTGGAAACTTATAAACCTTTAGGGGTATTTATTTGTTTATTTACTTGTTGTTGGATTAATATATTGTTGCATGAAGAACAATTTGTATCATGTAATGTAAGTTTGGAGAATTATATTCGGTTTTCCTTAAAAGAGCCATAATTGTTGCATTATCATTTGGGCTAAAAATTTGGAGCGTTACACACCACATTCTTGAGCTACCCATGAATTTGAAGACCTCCATTGAAGTGAAAACCGCCAATAAAAAAAAAAAAACTTCATAACCTTATAAAGAATTAGGTGCACAAGTTCAGACATACTGCATTTATAGCACAATAGCATCGCAGAAAAATTGAGAGTTTTCAAAGAATGATATAGCAGGTTCATCATAGTACTGCACTTGGTTCTGCTATTTTATTTCCAAGGCAAATGTAATAGAAATGGTTGCTTAAATATTGTTTTAGGTAAATTCAAGACTTTCCAATAAAGTAAGCAAGGCAAAAAGCACTGCAGAATTACCTCCTGCGGGAAATCTCCATTCTCCATTTGAGAATTTATTAATACTTTTGCTGCATGATGCAATGGTGTTGGGTCTCTTTCGGCCTACACCACAAATACAAAGAAATATTCATGAAAAACTAAATTCAAAAGCAAATATATTAGAAAAACATATAAACACAAATTTATTGGTGCACCAAAAAACATGATTTGTAGCCAAACCATTTCGATCAAACCTATTAACATATCCAAGAAAATACTAACGCTACGGGAATAGGATATTTTGGCTCAAATCATATTCTTAATTTTAGAACACCCATGCTAAATCTGTAACACCCTATCTGTGATACCTCTGTTTCGTAGTATGCTAATTGGTCCTTAAATTGAGTATGATTATGTGTTTAGCATGATTTTATGTGCCATTATGTGAATATATGTGATTTTGAAGTTTTATCTGTTCACCGTAGGAATATCTGTTCGAATAATCTGCTTTGGAAATTAAATTGAGGGCCCTATCGGCCACAGAACCCGAAATTGTTGACGTCATTGTGATTGGCATAATTTTTAGAACCTACGGTGAAATTTAATTAGAAATCGATTCTGGTCAGTTTAAACTGATTAAATTGGTGAATTGAGTACTCAATTATTTTATGTTGAAATAATGTGTGAGTGGGGCTATTATAGGCCTTATTAAAACCAATTCCTTCCCTTTACATTGATTTTGGCTGATCAACTCTAAGAGAAAAAGAGGAGGGTCGGCTACTAGAGAGAGGAAGGGGAGAAAAATCTAAGTTTTGCTCTTGATCTTTGAATGCCTTGAAGATAACACAAGAATTGCCATAGATTGTGAAGATTAAACTCTTTGGTGAGTAGTTCATGTAAATTTTAACTATCATTTTGTGAATTCAAGTTTGAAGGAGGGTCTAGAGCATGGAATTGTTTGATCATAAGGAAATTGAGTTGAAGTTGTTATAATGGAGACCCATATATGCATGCATGTGTGTGATTGTCTTGAATATTGCATGTTTTGAGCTCAAATGGTATGATCCATGTAAATTGTAGTTGAAACTCATGTTTTGATCACCAATTGTGCATCTAAGTTGAGAATGTAGCTAATTCGTCACATGCATGTACAAATTATGAAAATATGGGCTTGAATGTATGAATTTGTTATGTTAGAATGAGTTTGATGGGAGATTGGGGCATGCATGTGAATTGATGGTGAATTGAGCTTCATTGGGTTCTGATTTGGGGTTTGCATCATGTTGGTATAATTATATTTGAGAATTGAGCCATAACATGCATGATTTGTTGGTTGAAAACCGAATTGGAACTCAAGAACATATTCTGGGTTTTCCAGAATTTTGAGGTCCGCTCGAGCGGGAGAACCTCCACTTGAGCGTAAATTTCGTGCTCCCAGCACTTTTTGCAGAGTTGGATGTCCGCTCGAGCGAGATATTTCATACTCGAGCGAGGAGCTTTTGTAGACAGGCATTCCGTTCGAGCTCCCTAAATCACGCTCGAGCATAATTTTGAGGTAACCAGTACTTTTGCAGGCCTCTTAGGTCCGCTCGAGCGGGGAAGTCCACGCTCGAGCGGGGACCCTGTTTTCTGAAATTTTGTTCATGCGTTCTGTGTTTCGTTTTCCGTTCTCTTTCACTTGTGATCACTCTTAGGCATATGTTAAGCATTGTAAATGAGTTAATGAGATAAGAATAAAGCCTAAAGAGGAATATGTGAATTAAGGAACGGATTGAATTGTTAGTGACCCTTTTGTGTTCATGAAATGTGTAGGGTCAAGCTCCAGGGCAAATCCACAAGCCGATCACTGTGAGTAATATCGATATTTGAAAGCTTGTCAATGTCCAATTGTTTATTTCCCTTATAAGCTTTATGAATTGCTAATTGGGATTGTGGACAAAAGTTTGACATGATAGAAATGAATGGACCGAAGGTCGTTTTCATAGAAATGAATGGACCGAAGGTCGTTTTCATAGAAATGAATGGACCGAAGGTCGTTTTGACATGAATGAGTGGGCCGAAGGCCGTTTTGACATAAACGAATGGACTTAAGGTCATTTTGATAGAAATGAATGAGCCAAATGCCGTTTTGACTTAAATGAATGGGCCGAAGGCCGTTCTGACATAAATGAATAGGCCGAAGGCCGTTTTGACATGAATGGGAATCTGATTGGGCCAAAGGCCAGTATGTTTGGAACTACAGTCATTTGATCTGAATTTTGTATAAGTGTATATATGTTAAGCAGAAATATGCATTGGGCCTAAGGCCGTTCGGAGCATGTTGTTCTTCATATTGCTTATGTAATTTATGTATTCGATATTATTCACTAGGCTATCTCTCACGCTCATTCATGTGTTTGTAGGTGAGCCGAGAGAAGTCCAAACCCAGCCCCAGTGAAGTCTTCCAGGAACAACATGAGTTTTGGAGAGTCAGCCTTGTGTCTCACGTACGAGACCCATCCTTGTCATTTTGTTATGTATTTATATTTTGTCTTGTTGGCAAGGACTTTGTGTACATCTGTATATAGTTTTGATATAGGTTGACTCAGTTTGGATGATCCTGTCTGTAAAGGATTTTGTGATACTGTACTTGTTATGGGTTATTAACGTATATGTGCATGGTTTGCTTTGAGTTCATATAAGCACGGCTCTATGGACAAAGTTTTAAATTTTTGCTTCCGTTTGGCCCCTTTACTCTGATGAGTTATGTCTGTTAAGGTTTGAGGCCGTAGGTAATCTCAGGATTACTGGCCGGTTATGTCCTTAACCTATAGGAGCGGATTCGGGTCATGACACTATCCCACATCAGAAGTTTGCATGAGTGATCTTGGGCATATAAAGCACCACTACCTTTCTACTAAGTAACTTGGACTTAAGCTTTTTGGTATTGTTGGTCGACCCACAGGTTACTTGGGCCAGCAAGTAATGGGATGTTAAAAATGGTATCAAATACATATGTTGTGTGGGTAACCTGAATATCTCTCCAACTTTTCTCTCTAACTTTCTGCCATCAAAGAACAATCCAAGCCTTTATACTATGGTTAGTGTGGGTGATACTCCAATCACTAGGAAAAGTTCGAGTTTTTCATTGGAAGCACGTAATTCATCAGTATGATCCTTGAATTCAGTTTGAGCGTAAAATGTATGCCCAAATCTGATTATTTTAGCTGCGTATTAATTTTCCGACATTAGTATCAGAGCTATCGTGAGTGTTTTCATATTGTTTTATGCATAAAATATAATTTGAAATACGTGTGCAGCCATTAAAATGATTATACACATGTTTCATGCATGAAAATTGATGTTTTTTGAACTTTCTCCTATTGAACCAAAATTGATATATGTTGTAGTCCATATCATGTAGAACATATCTACAAAGTTTCATTAAAATCGGATTTTTAGATTTTGAGAAAAATGGAAACCTATTTTGTTTTTCCAAAATTTTATTTACATGTGTTTTTTACATGCTTCAATTTCATGCTACAAAACTTATATATTCAAAATTCTCATTTTGAGGCATTCGAAGTGGCATATTATTTGCATGTTTTTGACTTACGGATGAGAATGAAACTTTGGGGTGGGTTGGAACAATATGGGTTATTTGGAGAAGATGAAATGCATAGTTTTTGCACTTTCACTCTCACTAGAGAGAGAGAGAGAGAGAGAGTGAAAACACCCCCCATTTTAGATTTGTCAGGTTCCAAAACCGAGACCACCAATGCATTCCTCTCAAAAAATCAAGTCAGGCAGTGCTAGAATTGATCCCAAAAGAGCCTCAGAAAGAGGTGTGTGGAACCCATGCGCACACAACTGCCATTTGCGTCATCCACGCGCCATCACGTATGCCCTCACGCACATCGCCACGCACTAGCACGCGCCAGCCTCGTGTTCCACGGGCTGGCCAAGCGTGCATGATGTACTAGCCTACGCGCACCATGCACACCGAGCAGCACAGCCAACTTGGCTGCTGGTGTTGCTAAGGCTCTGTTTGGTTTTTATTTTATTATTTTTTTAAAAAAATTTTTGAACTACTTTAAATTGCTCTATAGGACTTGTTTGAACTCCGTTTTGAGCATGGTTGGTACCATTGAACTCGAAATTTGATTTTCTATCTAAAGGAAAGGTTTCAGAATTTTTCAAAATAAAAATATTTTTCCTAAAGTAATAATTCTAAATTTTACTTTAAAATGCCTGTGGGAGGCGCATATCTTGGCTTTTGGACTTGAAATTTTTACTATAAACTACTATGACGTTTTCTTATTTATTGGAAGGAGTGGTGTATAGTTTTAGATTTTGTAAAATTTATTTCTATTTTTCTATGTAGTTATTAATTACTTGAAATTCAAGTAAATTCTAAAAGAATACAAATGTTGTTAAAATCAATTATGGCATAATCTGCATATTAAATATAGCATGTTAAGTTCTTTTAATGTGTAGAACTTGTAATATCTTGCAATCCAATAGCATGATTTGCATTTTCTTTTCAATTTAATTTCATGATTAAATTATATTTAGCATGATTTCTAATGCATATTCACATTGATATGCTAGTATATGAAGTTAAACATACTATCATCCTTTCAGACAGTTGTTCTGATAAGAGAATTCTATGAATTTTCTCCCAATTGAATTAAATTTTGATAATTGTCACACGAGACGCAAGAGATGATTACGAGCTAAGCGGATTTTCAATCTTGCTACATGTCTAAAATTATTAATATTTAATTTAGATTTTTGCTGCAAAATTATGTTGATATGTGCTAATCAAATTAATCTCGATGCATATTTTTCCTCTAAACGACTAAGTTATGAAATTTAGTTAGGTTGACTTGACCTGAGTAGAGATGTTAAATAGTGAACAATGTGATCCTATCAAGCAAATAGTCTTGGAGAGTTTTGGTCAAATCTCAGTTTAGCCTAAGCAAGGAACACGACTTAACATCGCCGTATTATTGTTGCCTTAATTAGAGCAATACAAACTGATATGTGAGCTATAATGAGTGTGGCATGCAAAGTTTTTCTGGTTGGTGAGTTGAAGTTGTGAGAATGACATCAAATGTAGAAAGCCCTCAAAATATTTAGAT